AGAAATTTCATACCAGAAGGTCATGACAGTCAGAGCAATAATGGCAAAACGGGCAATAGCAAATAGAACAGTCCACACCCAGAACCTAAAACACAAAAGAAATGTTAATCAGTGAAAAGCAAGAGAATTCCAAAACTATCACAATGTTGTTGTACGTCTCAACATAATATGTTGACAAAAGGGTTTCCAAAGGGTTTTGAAAGGATTTCAAACCCTTGAAACTGGGTCTCCAAAGGGTTTCAGAATGACCTCAAACCCCCTAAAAACGCTTTTGTGGATAAGATGTGTTTCGTATGGAGGGTCACATATATTCAGCCAACAACAGCCTACATCATCAAAATCTAGCAGTAATGTTTGTAACATATATTTGGACAGACCAGTCTTTAAGTTGTCAATTGAAAATGAAACGCAGTTGGACCACAAACTAATGGATGGCTCATTCAAAACTGAAAACATTTGGATAGGGGAGGTCTCTAGTTTTGAATGATACATGGAGTTGCCCATTTTAAGCTTTTATCCACCAAAAATAGCTTCTAAAAACAGTGAAGGACAACTGCTGAATGAAAGCAGAAATTTATTGTTAGCATAACTAGACAGTGCTTTCACTTACAAGCTGTTGGCCACATCGTCTTTGCCGCTGATGTGTAACATTCTCATTCCATGGTAAATACTCTCCACTGCACAGTGAACCACCAAGCAACACAATGAAACATGAGTAAAACTAACAAGAGAAGAAAAAATTGCTCAGTCAAATTCTGACCGGTGAGCCTAACAGGTAATTTTTTTGCCTCCACCAGATGCTTAACAGGAGAGTCATTTCTTATGTATTATAAACTGGAAAACTAACTTACTTCAGCATGTAGGCAGCCCAGATGAAAAACAGATATTCAATGTATAACTGAACCTTTGGAAAAATCTCCTCCTGTCAAAAAAAAGAGAGCAAATTAAGATACAAATAACCTGTAAAACATTTTTCTCTTGCGAAGCTGATCGTAAATGTCATGGCCTGATCTATCACAAGTTATGTGGTTCCAAAAAATATCCAAACCTCCAACAAGGATAGTTATTTGGTTTGTACCCCCTCCCCCTGGAATTTACAGATTAACTTCCTACTTTCCTTTTAAAAATTTGGCTGTTGAAACCACCCACCCCCTCAGAATTTCAAATGGCCATCTTAGAGTGGGTAGGGATATTTTCTAGGCTTCACATAATTAACTCTTACCCGTTTAGCTCTTGTGAAGTACAGTTCTGGAAAGCAGTGAACCCAAAAGGAAATTTGAAGAATGAAGTAGAACTTGAGCGTGAATCTGACAGAAAAAAAAAAGCAATGCATCAAAAGTGTGCGGTGGAAAAACGATCATGTAAATTAACAAAACACTCAACTCTAGTGATTCCTGCATGATACACACCTCAAATGTACTATCATATGGGAGTTTACATTGTAATTCACTGCTAATTAACAGACAGACCATTAACTGAATTAAAAATGAACTTACGACATTTCATTATGTGGATAACCTTCCCAAAGCTTTGAAATATTTGGAATAAATCCTTCCTATAATTTAAAGCAAATGGTATTAATAAAAATTATGTTTCAGTTGTCACTTAGCTTGAAAGCAATTTTAAAAAATCAATTTAAATTGATTGAAATGACAAAAACAAGAAAACCTAAAGTATATAAGTTTGGCATTTAACATACATTTGAATGTACCATTTAGAACTACATATTGGCATGTTTAGAGTCAAGCTCTATTAAGCCAGGATCTATCCAGGAGGATAGCTACAGGGCTCATTTAAGAGACAAGAAAGATACCAGGAGTTTCAGTTACGTTTTGAGTAAGAGGGCAACTGGTTTTCACAGGCAGGCAAAACTTTTTAAACTGAATTTCTTTAGGAGAAAATCTTTCCTCTACATGGTCAAACCAGGCAAGCAAAACCATCCTCACAGCTGGTCAATTTGCCTTGGGCCCAACCCTTAATGAAACCCTGACAAAGATACCGTATTTTCAAATCATAAATAACTCTTGCTCAAATCTTTGCTGCATATTTTACCTTGACTATAATGTCTGCTCCCCAAGCAGCAAAGAAAAAATAGAATGGCAGTAATATTCCAGAATCATTGAACTTTGTATTTTTGGTCTTTGACAAACGCAGCTTACGGGAGACTTTCTGCAAACAAAGAATAACAACAGATAGCTGAGACGTATTATTGAAATTTCCTTTTGCAGTTGCAAACAACAAATAGTCAAAGAACAAAATTGATTTTATTTTGTTATATGTTTGGAGATCATTACCAAGTCAAAATTGGTTAGTAAGGAAGAGATAAATTAATAGTAGTCCTTTCTGAGCTTTTATTTGATCAATATCAACAGATCACAAGCACTGAACCACAGTTTAAGAGATTCTTTAAGAAACAGTGAAGAAAGCCTACAAAAAGTTATCTATAAACCTACAACATGGTGTGATCAATTTACTGAATGACATGTCAAGTCAATCATGTCATGTCAATTTTATTCAATTCAGATACAGCTCAACCCCTATTAAACAGCCACCCTTGGGGAAATGGATAGTGGCCACTTAAACAAGGTAAAAACAATAGAAAAATCCCTCATTGGGACTTTGATCACTGGCTGCCTTGTAGGGATGGCCATTTAATAGGTGGCCACTTAACAGGAGTTCAACTGTATACCTGTGTACTCCATCTGTTGCTACATTTATTAGCCACAACTTTATTATAACCAAAGACAATTGACACTTTAACTTACATCCCAGATGTACTCCTGAATGATGGCATGCACCACAATCCATGCCATAGAATAGAAGAAAATGGTGCAAAAATCCTTCGGTCCATTTGTGTAGGTTGTTAGAAGATCTTCCGATCCTAGATAAAAAAGAAAAAACATATTCAATATTTTTAAAATAATCAGTTGATGGCAATTTTGAAACCTGCACTAAACAGCACTGGTCAGAGAGAATCAATGAAAGTTTAATGAATTCTATTGTTTTAGGACCAAATTGAAGTATTCAGTAACTTTTCAAGCTTGATCTTTTACAGATGAGAGAGTAAGGGTGCTCTTTGCATACTGCAGGGTTTGATGTGATACTCTTTACCAGTCTTGTAAATTTATTTAAACATGCTGGGTTAAACTTTTTTTTTTTTGATTTACAGGAAGAATCATCAGAGATTACAAAGTCATCATCAACTAAACCAAAATTTTGGCAGTCAAGACTACAAACAGTGAAATGGAAAACATAAAAACCTTACGCAGTTGTAAGGGGCATTTGAACAACAAGCAAGATTCCATTTTATTGTTGGAACAGGTGTAAGTAACCCATGCAATATCCGTTTTAAAATTAAAGCCTCATGATCTACAAAGTTAACTTACCACGCTTCAAGTCAAAAACACAGCAAGATTTATAAGAAAATATAACTGAAGAATTTCGTCTTAATTAAAAAAGTTTCCAAGCAAGTGCAGCAGTAAAAGTCTACAATTTCTTTTTAATCGGTCATGAAAGGCATAACCGAGTTATATCGTTCCATTGTCTACAACAAAATGACCAATCAAAAGTTCCCACGACAAATTTAAAAGAGGATTGAACCTTAAAAAATTCGGCAACTCATTCATAAAGATTTTGAAGAAATCGAGATTTAGTTGGCCGAAAATATTTACAGTTAAAGGATTGTTACACTAGCTGGCTTGATTCCTCTCCGAGAGAAATACATCGTGTTTCACGTGTATCAACTGCCTCGGTTGGTAGCATTTAGAACCGATTGAAATAAAACGCATCGGAACTTCTTTTTCCCCACCTACCGTTTAAGGTTCTGGTAAGATTATGTTGAGGTGCGATAAAAACAGACGCTACTTTAGACGTTGCCTGGAAATCAGCAATAAAAGAAAAAGAATTAGGATTTTTATCACAAGAAGTAATGAACAATGCAATATTATAAGCTTACGACTACAAAATGGTTGACGAGAAAACCACGATATTCTTACCTGGAACATCAGACCGACCATAAAAATCATACACACACAAGAAACTATATCTCCATGATTTGTAATCATAAATTCGTGGCTAAGTATCGGGGCATTTTTGCCCGTTTTTCGCCTGCTTGGCATTTTCCCGGCGTGAAAAGTAAAACACCAGAGAAGAAAAGAAAGAGATATAGTGGTGTCCAGGCTCTGGCCGCCATTAAGCTAGTGCCCAATCTACGACTCGGACAATCCATTTTGGCGAATGCGTTGCAGTCGGACGTGTCGCAAAATCCCCGGTATATCTGCGACGCAGGCTAAGGCGGCCCCGAAGAGCCGTCAAGCGAAGCACCATACTCATATAGGAAAGATAAGGAAACCCATGAATTGATTTTCTTATGGTTATCATGGCTAGCGGTAGCACGATGTGAAGCGAGAGGCTGATAATCAATAGCAATTCTGAGTGAACGTCAGTGAGCTTTCACGATCCTTTCGGAAAACTCAAAAGACCGAGCTTCCTTCCCATCCACAAATGAAACACTGAGGGATTCGCGAAAAAGAATGCCATTTTCATCACCTAGCCTTTCAGCCTGCCTCAGAAAACTCTTGGAAAGGTAACCGTCAAGAAGACGCCATTGATGCTGACATAACTGGTCTCTTTCAGCCGATTTTCACTAACTGCACAGTAATTCGTTTATCGCACCCATCTTTTGTGCTCGTTTTGTAAGTCTACATACGAGCCAAGTGGCTCATCAGGCAGGAGCTTATCCCAGTTTCGGTAGCATGAAGTGACTAGGAGTATTTCTACTCCCCTCTGGATGGGATGCCAGTCCATCCCACGGCTACCCCCAGCATTAAATTCGCCGGTACCCACTTAGACATCTAGGTGGAGAGAGGCAATGTGAGAGTAAAATGTCTTGCCCAAGAAGACGACACAATGTCCCCGGCCAGGGCTCGACCCGGACCGCTCGATCCGGAGGTGAGCACATTAACCATGAGGCCACCGCGCCTCCACATGTTTCAGTAGTTGCTGTATAACGTTCATTTTGATTTTACACACCTCGCTAGTGTTTTCTTTCGAAAAGCAAAACAAAAAACGTTTCCATGTGACTACCCAATTCACGCAAACTAAGATATTTCAACTTAATTTGGATAAGACGAGTTTTCTCTATTTGTACTGTAGAAACGTTTACAATAATTATGGGCCGCCGTCACCGCCAAAAATACAAACGTTGCAAACAATTCAGAATCAATTGAAACGGTCTAATTGTTGTTTCCAAGAAGTTCCAGACATTTCAGAAATGCTGAAGTTAAAATGCACTTAGACAGGTGTCCTCGTGCGGTCAAGTGGAAAACCGAACTGATAAATGGTTTAGACAATGTTAAAATTGTCTAACCCTCGACCACAAAACGGTACATCAAAACAACTAATGATCTATCCTAAATAAAAATAATTCAGCTTCCCTTTGTAAAACGGTGCAGACTGAGAGAAACGGATTAACCTTAGGGCAGATAGATTAACGAAAACTGATTTGGTTTAGCTTTACATCAAATGGCTCGGTGTACTGCAGATTGGTTTAGCTTACTGTGGACCTGGTTTGGCGTATTGCCACGAATCATCGGGTTCAACGTATTGCGAGTGGTTTAGCCTATTGAGAATTGGTTGCGTTTAATTTAAAATGGTTTAGCCTATTGCGGACTGGTTTAGCGTATTGCGAATTGGTTTAGCGTTACATCAAATGTAAAAAGCTTAATACAGAGGGAGGCTTATTTGGGACGCGGCGCTTATTTCTTTTGAAAAAATTCCATCTTTAATTTCAATGTCAACTTTCGCTATGGAGAGACTATATTGGAAAGGCGTTTGTTGGAGCTGGAGGAGGGCGCTACATCGAATCACCGCGGCAGAACTACAACTGAAGTAACACTTTCAGTAGTAGTTATAGTTTATTAACACTCGCTATGAATCCAGAATATTTTTTGGGGAGAAGCGTCTCTGTGTGCATGAATTTCTCGGTTTTGTTAGAGTTGTGACAAAAAAGAGGGAAGTATGTTGAACATTCCACTCTGCACTACGACATCCCCATTACATGGTTGAAGTTAGTCAGACGTCATTAAAGCATATGAAATTCAAAGGATTTTTTTTTTTTTCATTTTTGCCAAACAGATCGTCCACTTCTAATTTTGGAAAGAATATTAAACGTTAAGTTGCGTTTGCGATCTGAATATGACCTATGAAGTAGTTTTATTTTGATGTCCTGAACAAGAACAAGAACAAGCCAAATGAATCCACAGTGACAGCCCCCAAAGAAGATGTCATTATTTTATTACCTTATATAGGTTTCCATAGCAATCATATTACTAAGCGTCTAAGATCTTGTGTAAATCGTTCCTACACTTTTGTTGATGTCAAAGTTATCTTTCAAAACACCTGGCGCATCAAATCCTTCTTCCCATACAAGGACCGTCTCAACCGATCACAATTTTCCAAAGTCATTTATAAAGCTAGTTGCTGGAACTGCAATTATTTTTACAGTGGGAAAACGAAAGGAAGACTTCACGACCGGAAAACGGAACATTTCAAGGTCCTTTCGAAACATGATCACTCTTCTGCTGTTGCTGATCACGTTAAAACAACTGGTCACAGCATCAAATGGGACCATTTTGACATTTTGTCGTCCGGCAAAACTGACTACCATTGTAAGGTTAAGGAGACCTTGTTTATTTAGGAGTTGCAGGCAACATTGAATGTCAATGTCAGTAGTGAAAAGCAACGACATTTTAAGACGAGTAGCACTGGGGACGAGAATGCGTTCTTCCCCACTGATTTCCGACCAAAAGAGAAAACGCTCGCAGTCTAAACCCCCCTCCCCCTCAAAAAAAAAATTAATGGCCCGTCCCTTAGTTGGGGAGGGACGAAGTAAAACCTTCACTCCTTTAATTTTTGTCGGTTTCTCGTCCTTGGATGGTTTTCACATTCCGCTCATATTTTGTCTAAATAGTTTAACATCTACTCCGTTTCCGGGTTTTCTTGGAACCCAGCCAGGAAACCAGCCAATGATCGTATTTCTTGGAAACATGCTGATGCAGACGTGGCAAAGTCTTACCGCTGGGGAAGATTACTAATCCTTTTACAAATTTGGAACATTTGGGACATTTATGACGATTCCATACGCCAGCTGGTTAGGTGGAAATTTTGGTTGATCCGGAGGAAAGAGCAGTAGAACAATGCCACAAAGAAACGAGTCAGTCTGAGTTAATGATTAATGGCAGGTGAAACTCTTCACGTCGCAATTTGATATCGGAAAATTTTCGAAAACGCACGTGCTAGCCGAGTCTACTTGCTTCAAATGGACCTCGCAGTGATTCCTCGGTGAGTAAAGGTAAATGTTTTGGTGAGAAGCTGCTTTAGTTGTACTGTTGTATTACAGATATTTTAAATAAGTAAAAATATGGCGACCGATCTCTGGAGCTATTATTGTAGCCTCAGATATAAACAACTATCAGATGTAAACAACTAACTGCCTTTGAAGCTCCTTATTAGTTAGCCCTAATGATATTCCAGATTTTGGCTGTCGTGCCGAACAGAACTTTGTAAAATCGTTTCTTCTACGTTAAACAAAAGTTTTTTAATTGCCTTTATTCAAGCTTACAGTTCCAGCTCTGTGTACTGTGTTAACGAAAGCAATGTTTATGTCGTTTCTTATATTCATCCTCAGTCCCTACTTTATAGTAGTGCAGTGTTTGATTGTTTATACATTACAGACGGGCACACTTCATAGATCACTTCTAGCATTTGTTCAGTATTGTGTATAAGCTTGCTTATTAGAGTCTATTAGACCAATTTGGATATTTCAGCCTCAAAAACACAACAGACCTCAGCACGAGGCTCTAGGGAATAAACTCCACAAACTCTGTAGTTATTCCCCAGAGCCTGGTACTCGGGTCTGTTGTTTTAGGCAGAATTTTAATATATCGAAATTGGTCTAATAGAGTGTGAGGGCTATGATGGTGGTGCCTTTGTTAGAGAAGACAAGGCACCAGTGTTGGCTATGATTGAGCTATGACTGGCTGATGGTATATTTGATGACTCATACAGTCGAACCTCCACAACGGCCACCTCTTTACCAAGGCCACTTTTTTGTTTTGGCATGCAGTCCATATATTCTCTCTTATTTTAACCTCTCCACAATGGAGGAGGCACAGTGGCCTCATTGGTTTATATACATGTAGTATGCTCGCTTCTGGATCAAGCGCTCCAGGTTCAAGCCCTGGTGGGGGATACACTTCACTCTCATAGCACATCTTTCCACCCAGGTGTATAAATGGGTACTGGTGAATTTAATGCGGCAGGTAACCCTGCAATCAGGACTAGCATCCCCGTCAGAGAGGAGTAGAAATACTTCTAGTTGCTTTATGGTACTGAAACCGGAGATAAGCCCCAGCCTGATGGGCCACTTGGCTTATATGCAGAGTTTACCTACCTTACAATGGCCATCACTTCACCTCTTCACCAGTTGCTTAGCTGATCTCTTTTTTGGTTTGGTTTATGTTTTATTGATATATTTTGACTGTGTTACATATTTACATGCTGAAATAAGCATTATTAATATTAAAGAAAATATGTTACACACCCTAAAAAACAGGTGTCTCATTGTAACCCTTCCTCCCTATAACAACCATCTATCAACAATGACCACTTTCCTCTGTCCNTTTTTTTTTTGATTTACAGGAAGAATCATCAGAGATTACAAAGTCATCATCAACTAAACCAAAATTTTGGCAGTCAAGACTACAAACAGTGAAATGGAAAACATAAAAACCTTACGCAGTTGTAAGGGGCATTTGAACAACAAGCAAGATTCCATTTTATTGTTGGAACAGGTGTAAGTAACCCATGCAATATCCGTTTTAAAATTAAAGCCTCATGATCTACAAAGTTAACTTACCACGCTTCAAGTCAAAAACACAGCAAGATTTATAAGAAAATATAACTGAAGAATTTCGTCTTAATTAAAAAAGTTTCCAAGCAAGTGCAGCAGTAAAAGTCTACAATTTCTTTTTAATCGGTCATGAAAGGCATAACCGAGTTATATCGTTCCATTGTCTACAACAAAATGACCAATCAAAAGTTCCCACGACAAATTTAAAAGAGGATTGAACCTTAAAAAATTCGGCAACTCATTCATAAAGATTTTGAAGAAATCGAGATTTAGTTGGCCGAAAATATTTACAGTTAAAGGATTGTTACACTAGCTGGCTTGATTCCTCTCCGAGAGAAATACATCGTGTTTCACGTGTATCAACTGCCTCGGTTGGTAGCATTTAGAACCGATTGAAATAAAACGCATCGGAACTTCTTTTTCCCCACCTACCGTTTAAGGTTCTGGTAAGATTATGTTGAGGTGCGATAAAAACAGACGCTACTTTAGACGTTGCCTGGAAATCAGCAATAAAAGAAAAAGAATTAGGATTTTTATCACAAGAAGTAATGAACAATGCAATATTATAAGCTTACGACTACAAAATGGTTGACGAGAAAACCACGATATTCTTACCTGGAACATCAGACCGACCATAAAAATCATACACACACAAGAAACTATATCTCCATGATTTGTAATCATAAATTCGTGGCTAAGTATCGGGGCATTTTTGCCCGTTTTTCGCCTGCTTGGCATTTTCCCGGCGTGAAAAGTAAAACACCAGAGAAGAAAAGAAAGAGATATAGTGGTGTCCAGGCTCTGGCCGCCATTAAGCTAGTGCCCAATCTACGACTCGGACAATCCATTTTGGCGAATGCGTTGCAGTCGGACGTGTCGCAAAATCCCCGGTATATCTGCGACGCAGGCTAAGGCGGCCCCGAAGAGCCGTCAAGCGAAGCACCATACTCATATAGGAAAGATAAGGAAACCCATGAATTGATTTTCTTATGGTTATCATGGCTAGCGGTAGCACGATGTGAAGCGAGAGGCTGATAATCAATAGCAATTCTGAGTGAACGTCAGTGAGCTTTCACGATCCTTTCGGAAAACTCAAAAGACCGAGCTTCCTTCCCATCCACAAATGAAACACTGAGGGATTCGCGAAAAAGAATGCCATTTTCATCACCTAGCCTTTCAGCCTGCCTCAGAAAACTCTTGGAAAGGTAACCGTCAAGAAGACGCCATTGATGCTGACATAACTGGTCTCTTTCAGCCGATTTTCACTAACTGCACAGTAATTCGTTTATCGCACCCATCTTTTGTGCTCGTTTTGTAAGTCTACATACGAGCCAAGTGGCTCATCAGGCAGGAGCTTATCCCAGTTTCGGTAGCATGAAGTGACTAGGAGTATTTCTACTCCCCTCTGGATGGGATGCCAGTCCATCCCACGGCTACCCCCAGCATTAAATTCGCCGGTACCCACTTAGACATCTAGGTGGAGAGAGGCAATGTGAGAGTAAAATGTCTTGCCCAAGAAGACGACACAATGTCCCCGGCCAGGGCTCGACCCGGACCGCTCGATCCGGAGGTGAGCACATTAACCATGAGGCCACCGCGCCTCCACATGTTTCAGTAGTTGCTGTATAACGTTCATTTTGATTTTACACACCTCGCTAGTGTTTTCTTTCGAAAAGCAAAACAAAAAACGTTTCCATGTGACTACCCAATTCACGCAAACTAAGATATTTCAACTTAATTTGGATAAGACGAGTTTTCTCTATTTGTACTGTAGAAACGTTTACAATAATTATGGGCCGCCGTCACCGCCAAAAATACAAACGTTGCAAACAATTCAGAATCAATTGAAACGGTCTAATTGTTGTTTCCAAGAAGTTCCAGACATTTCAGAAATGCTGAAGTTAAAATGCACTTAGACAGGTGTCCTCGTGCGGTCAAGTGGAAAACCGAACTGATAAATGGTTTAGACAATGTTAAAATTGTCTAACCCTCGACCACAAAACGGTACATCAAAACAACTAATGATCTATCCTAAATAAAAATAATTCAGCTTCCCTTTGTAAAACGGTGCAGACTGAGAGAAACGGATTAACCTTAGGGCAGATAGATTAACGAAAACTGATTTGGTTTAGCTTTACATCAAATGGCTCGGTGTACTGCAGATTGGTTTAGCTTACTGTGGACCTGGTTTGGCGTATTGCCACGAATCATCGGGTTCAACGTATTGCGAGTGGTTTAGCCTATTGAGAATTGGTTGCGTTTAATTTAAAATGGTTTAGCCTATTGCGGACTGGTTTAGCGTATTGCGAATTGGTTTAGCGTTACATCAAATGTAAAAAGCTTAATACAGAGGGAGGCTTATTTGGGACGCGGCGCTTATTTCTTTTGAAAAAATTCCATCTTTAATTTCAATGTCAACTTTCGCTATGGAGAGACTATATTGGAAAGGCGTTTGTTGGAGCTGGAGGAGGGCGCTACATCGAATCACCGCGGCAGAACTACAACTGAAGTAACACTTTCAGTAGTAGTTATAGTTTATTAACACTCGCTATGAATCCAGAATATTTTTTGGGGAGAAGCGTCTCTGTGTGCATGAATTTCTCGGTTTTGTTAGAGTTGTGACAAAAAAGAGGGAAGTATGTTGAACATTCCACTCTGCACTACGACATCCCCATTACATGGTTGAAGTTAGTCAGACGTCATTAAAGCATATGAAATTCAAAGGATTTTTTTTTTTTTCATTTTTGCCAAACAGATCGTCCACTTCTAATTTTGGAAAGAATATTAAACGTTAAGTTGCGTTTGCGATCTGAATATGACCTATGAAGTAGTTTTATTTTGATGTCCTGAACAAGAACAAGAACAAGCCAAATGAATCCACAGTGACAGCCCCCAAAGAAGATGTCATTATTTTATTACCTTATATAGGTTTCCATAGCAATCATATTACTAAGCGTCTAAGATCTTGTGTAAATCGTTCCTACACTTTTGTTGATGTCAAAGTTATCTTTCAAAACACCTGGCGCATCAAATCCTTCTTCCCATACAAGGACCGTCTCAACCGATCACAATTTTCCAAAGTCATTTATAAAGCTAGTTGCTGGAACTGCAATTATTTTTACAGTGGGAAAACGAAAGGAAGACTTCACGACCGGAAAACGGAACATTTCAAGGTCCTTTCGAAACATGATCACTCTTCTGCTGTTGCTGATCACGTTAAAACAACTGGTCACAGCATCAAATGGGACCATTTTGACATTTTGTCGTCCGGCAAAACTGACTACCATTGTAAGGTTAAGGAGACCTTGTTTATTTAGGAGTTGCAGGCAACATTGAATGTCAATGTCAGTAGTGAAAAGCAACGACATTTTAAGACGAGTAGCACTGGGGACGAGAATGCGTTCTTCCCCACTGATTTCCGACCAAAAGAGAAAACGCTCGCAGTCTAAACCCCCCTCCCCCTCAAAAAAAAAATTAATGGCCCGTCCCTTAGTTGGGGAGGGACGAAGTAAAACCTTCACTCCTTTAATTTTTGTCGGTTTCTCGTCCTTGGATGGTTTTCACATTCCGCTCATATTTTGTCTAAATAGTTTAACATCTACTCCGTTTCCGGGTTTTCTTGGAACCCAGCCAGGAAACCAGCCAATGATCGTATTTCTTGGAAACATGCTGATGCAGACGTGGCAAAGTCTTACCGCTGGGGAAGATTACTAATCCTTTTACAAATTTGGAACATTTGGGACATTTATGACGATTCCATACGCCAGCTGGTTAGGTGGAAATTTTGGTTGATCCGGAGGAAAGAGCAGTAGAACAATGCCACAAAGAAACGAGTCAGTCTGAGTTAATGATTAATGGCAGGTGAAACTCTTCACGTCGCAATTTGATATCGGAAAATTTTCGAAAACGCACGTGCTAGCCGAGTCTACTTGCTTCAAATGGACCTCGCAGTGATTCCTCGGTGAGTAAAGGTAAATGTTTTGGTGAGAAGCTGCTTTAGTTGTACTGTTGTATTACAGATATTTTAAATAAGTAAAAATATGGCGACCGATCTCTGGAGCTATTATTGTAGCCTCAGATATAAACAACTATCAGATGTAAACAACTAACTGCCTTTGAAGCTCCTTATTAGTTAGCCCTAATGATATTCCAGATTTTGGCTGTCGTGCCGAACAGAACTTTGTAAAATCGTTTCTTCTACGTTAAACAAAAGTTTTTTAATTGCCTTTATTCAAGCTTACAGTTCCAGCTCTGTGTACTGTGTTAACGAAAGCAATGTTTATGTCGTTTCTTATATTCATCCTCAGTCCCTACTTTATAGTAGTGCAGTGTTTGATTGTTTATACATTACAGACGGGCACACTTCATAGATCACTTCTAGCATTTGTTCAGTATTGTGTATAAGCTTGCTTATTAGAGTCTATTAGACCAATTTGGATATTTCAGCCTCAAAAACACAACAGACCTCAGCACGAGGCTCTAGGGAATAAACTCCACAAACTCTGTAGTTATTCCCCAGAGCCTGGTACTCGGGTCTGTTGTTTTAGGCAGAATTTTAATATATCGAAATTGGTCTAATAGAGTGTGAGGGCTATGATGGTGGTGCCTTTGTTAGAGAAGACAAGGCACCAGTGTTGGCTATGATTGAGCTATGACTGGCTGATGGTATATTTGATGACTCATACAGTCGAACCTCCACAACGGCCACCTCTTTACCAAGGCCACTTTTTTGTTTTGGCATGCAGTCCATATATTCTCTCTTATTTTAACCTCTCCACAATGGAGGAGGCACAGTGGCCTCATTGGTTTATATACATGTAGTATGCTCGCTTCTGGATCAAGCGCTCCAGGTTCAAGCCCTGGTGGGGGATACACTTCACTCTCATAGCACATCTTTCCACCCAGGTGTATAAATGGGTACTGGTGAATTTAATGCGGCAGGTAACCCTGCAATCAGGACTAGCATCCCCGTCAGAGAGGAGTAGAAATACTTCTAGTTGCTTTATGGTACTGAAACCGGAGATAAGCCCCAGCCTGATGGGCCACTTGGCTTATATGCAGAGTTTACCTACCTTACAATGGCCATCACTTCACCTCTTCACCAGTTGCTTAGCTGATCTCTTTTTTGGTTTGGTTTATGTTTTATTGATATATTTTGACTGTGTTACATATTTACATGCTGAAATAAGTATTATTAATATTAAAGAAAATATGTTACACACCCTAAAAAACAGGTGTCTCATTGTAACCCTTCCTCCCTATAACAACCATCTATCAACAATGACCACTTTCCTCTGTCCCCAAAGTGGCTGTTGTGGAGAGGGTTCAACTGTATCTTAAACTTCAGGCCAGGATTTTTTAACATTGTTATATAGGGCAAATAAATTTAAGGCCACAAGTGTCACTATTTAGTATTCCTGTGACTTGCAGCCAACTAGCATTTACCATATTTTACTCGTGGTTTACTTTGGAAATCAGGACCTACTTAATCACAGGTCATATCCATCATCCAAATACTGAGAGGTGATAGGAGTTCATTAAGTCCACAGGGAGTACTCCCTTATATGGGCTATATTAAAGTATGTGAAGCCCCAAGGGTATTGTGTTTTGTTTCTGACTGAACTCTTCTAAGCTAAGTTCCAAAAGAAAGCGTTCTTTAAGTAACAAGGTGGCCGTATCAAAACAGCAGTTTTAAGGTGGGGCAGAAACTTGGTCTTAATAAGACTAGCTTTGTTCTAAAGGACAGACAAAGAAAAATCGTTAATTAATTAATCAGTGA